GAGTGAGTTTAATTTTACGGCACACTCAGCAATGGTCCAGCTATATGGCGGCGGTCTGTAAATAATCGAGTCTGGACCAGACAATGCAGTGATCAACAGCATGGGCATCGATCTGCGCAATTGGAGACCAATGACATGTGTCAACCAAGCCAGCGAACCTGACCACCCGATCCCGTTAGTCGCCTCATACGACAAGCATCGGTTACTGAAGGTTCATTCTAACCCGGACCTTCACGTGTCGATAATTGTAAGGAATGATATAATCATAAATTGTTTTTTTTTATATTTACATATTCAAATTCAAATTCAACACAAAAGTTATGAACACTGTTACCGTTATATAGTGGTTGACATGGCGGATGTCTTGAGGATTGGGTCACTCGATGTTGTCGACCCACCATGTAATTTTGACCAATGAGTCCAACAGACTCGTAAGTCTTGAATGTAATACAAAATAGCACACGGAGAACTTTTCTTGACTTACCACGATTCTAAGTAAGTTAATCCCATCAATATGGAACAAAGTACAAAACAGCAAACATATATTGACTCCTGTTTATTTTCTGTGGTGTCATATATTTTATGACAATGTATAATCATGATCACAATGAGTCCTTCAACATCTCAACAATCATAAACCCTTTCGTATGAAATGAATTGATAAACAAATATACATTGTATATAAAATTGGTGTAAAATTGGGACCAGCAGTTGCTCGGGGGTCATCTCAAAAGCTGTATATTTTTTCACAAATATTACCTAATCACAAATGAGATAGGGATGCATCATCTTATACAATATAATTATGTCCCAGACTCACAGCCAACGGACAATTAATGTGAACCTGTATGCAAACGATATTACTCCCAAACTAGTCTTTGTTAATACGGTGAATTAAACCACCATGCAACGGTACTGTAATAAAGCTGATTTCAGTGGAAAGACGTAGTCCTAATTAACAGACAGTTTGTATTTAACTCTTTCCACAAAACAAAACAACATAAATCTTTTCAGTTTAAAATGTTCTAATTTTAAACATACTGACTTTGGACATGACCCCTTGGTGGACGGACGTTATGGTAATATGTATATACTAGTAAATCTCAAATACAATATGGCCGGATATGTGATTTCATTTTTAGATCAACAAACCAATAACAACGCGATAGATCTACCTATCTCCTACCTGCAATGTTTGACAAAAATACCAACCGGATCATAAAAGCAAAATTATAACAATCATTACATACAAATATGAACTTTGACAACAATATGTGATATCATATATGACAAAAATATACATTTTGTGGTAAAATAGATGTCCTTTAGTAGACGTGATGCTTGTCGGTTTCATTTTAGTGGTAAATATCCGAACTGCATTACTTCGGGATTTCCTCCCACATCAAGCAGACACGACATGGTATAACCGGAATATTGTTCAAAGCGGCGTTAAAACCCAACTCACTCATTCACCCTAGGGACATCTGTACTTCTTGGGATTAATATTTGACTATGTTCCGCCATGTTTTAATGCAACACGAACTATATCACTGAGGTATATTGTGGACAGGAATCTTAGTATCTTACTCACAATCTTACAAATGAACAACAAAACTTGGTTCGTGCAGTTACGACTAGTCCCGTGGCAACTACCGACTATATTAACTACAATATCTTATCTATGAACTGCTCAGTATATACTGTCCGACATCTACTGGTCGCAAATGTGTATCGGTAGATGACTTTATTGTATTTTAAATATGTAGATACACACTATATACGTGACATATTAAACCCATTATTTCTTACTCTCTGAGTAAACTATAAGGACTTGCTTGTTTTCAACTTAGTAATTCCAAGGCATTCTGCATTTATTAACACATAGGTATCGATTATTTTCCGCATCCATTGTTTTCCATTGCAGAAGTAAACACATCTATAGTTACCGGACTTCGAGATGAAACATCCACGGTGTAAGGGAGATAACTCTGTATTGACTACAAGGAGGCTTGAGTGGCCAGTCAGTCAAATGGAACGTGGAGAATAATATATATACTTTCAGTTGATAGCGGATAAGGACTGTTGTCATCAAATAAATATATCTGGCAATGGAAATTGCAGCATAAATACTGGGCCCGTATTTTACATGTGAACCATAGAGGTCCAGGCATTATCCACCCAACCCACACAATCAATACTTTTGGAAAATATGACCTCCGAAACACGATATCTCTAACCCTTTCTAATTCTCGAACAGTAAAACATAAATGATAAGCTGAGAAATATCTCCAACTGTCATGGAAGTTTATCAAGTGAGCATGTCTTTTACAAATGTGGGGCAGGAAAAATATACATGTCCAACTATAAAAACTATTACACTTCTACAGGTTTTCCCTAGTATAATATTTTGGCACACACATACTAAAACAATTTGAATATGTACATTAACAGTCTTGCATTAACTATGTTGCTGTAACGTAATGTCTTTCCATGTCCCTGGTGTCATGGGAAATATGGTTGTTAGATCGTCAATAGATTTTGAGGAGTTGGATGAGGGCAGGATCACTGGCGATCATTTGGATATATACACAGCAGTTGAAACATGGGATAATTTGTAATTTCATTATAGTAATAATAATAGTCCACCATCATAGGTACTCCCTGGAAGTAACGCTCATATCCAGGCACTTTACCTGCTCACGACATTACTATCCCTGGTCATAGGACACCATCGTACTCCTGGGAGTAACATATAATATATGGCGCTCTCATACAGGCACTTTACCTGCTCACGACATTACTATCCCCGATCATAGGACACCATCGTACTCCCTGGGAAGTATACACAATATACCTGATGTATCACATATATATTTAATACAATAATGCTTGTATTCAGTACTAGAGATCACTAAGTGCAGATTTTCAAAACAGACATTACGGGACAGTTATTGATGCACTGCAAGTCAGATGCCCAATAGCAAATATCGCGTTAGACTATCAATAGTAATGATGGGCAATATTCTCCATTCCTTTTTCCATTAGTTTTCCTTCCAATACACCCTGATTTATGAAGCAGTGGAGCATCCATTCCAGGATGGACGTATTGGAAATTCAGCAATTCCATTCCTCCGCACCATCAAACCTTTCTAAGCCTGAGGAATTTTGGACTTTAATTCTTTGTTACCTTTTTGGAGTGATCAAGTACAAATCTGTACTCTGTACATGTATATTGTAAAGGTGCCGATTTCAACACTATAGCTAAATTACCCTGATAGTGTGATGAAGTACATAGTATTGCAGTGGGCAATACAGCCTCGCTTGTCACCCCACAGATGATCTAAACAAATCATCTCCTCAACTTGCATTTTGTCCCTCATTCATTTTATTCAGTAACTACACTATACTAGTCAAGTTACCCTTTTATTCCTTGAATCTTCGGAGACAGTAATTGTCCATGTACATTGTATACTCCCAGAATATATTAAATGAGGAGCCAAACTCAAGTATAGAATGATTGGTCAAGTCTAGATTGTATCAACTCTAGGCTAAAATTAAGAACTGTTCCTGTCTCCTTTTGGATAATATATATTCTTTGTTTGTAAATACATGAACCTTTTTGGGAATAAATGTCAGCCTATTACTGAAAAAGCCAACAATGCTTGTATCCTGAACAGTGTGACACAAATCCTTCAACATGTGCACACAGATGACATACTATGAAGTATTATTAATGTATTGTATCCATCTTACTACAAATATCAATACAGGAGGTTGTGATCGATCATGTGGATGATGATGATGATGATGGTCAAAGGTTTAGATTATAAATGCCAGTCAAAGGGGGGACAATTTGGGTTCACGCCATCCAAAGAGCAACATCATAACTTTGTCAAAATAAGACAACGCTATTCCAGTCAAAGGGAGACAACTATGTTTCACTCCATCAAAGGGAGGCAATGACCGGATCTTTAGTCAAAGGGGCATAAATATGTTTATATTGCTCCCAAATTAGCCATTGGGAGCTAAAATGGTTCTGGAACAAAAGGGAGACAATTATGTTACATTTTTGAATTGCTATTCATATATTTTGTATTTTGTATGGAACTTAGATCTAACTGGCACCGGCACCAGACTCAGTATGGTAAATTAAATAGACCTGAAAGAGACCATCATAATGTCAAGATTCAATGCTATGCTTGTGTGTTTGGTGTTTAACAATCTACACAGAAATAATGAAGGTCTGATTATGGCCTGTCAATAATAGAGTCAAACTAGACTATCAAGTGATCGATACCATGAGCAAGCCATGTGGATATGATGATGTGCAACTGACCTTGTCAAACACCCTGACCACCAGATCCATTTGGTCATGCCTTACGTTTGTTTGTTGTTAAATGCCTCATCCTTATGACCAGGGGGGTGAATGTGTATCCCCCCCCTTAAATTTTTGTACAAAGTAAGTGATACCCCCCACCCCCCTGCATGTCATGTACAAAATCAATATGACACCCACCCTAGTTCATGGGTACAAATTGATGACCCCCTACCTCCCAGAACAAAATGGGTGGGCACGACGCATGCATTCGCACCAAAAAAAAAATTGTTTTTAAAATCATCATCATCCCCCCAGGCATAAATTATGAACGGTCCCTAATTCAAACACAGAATCCTCACAGGGATGATTTTATGACAAGAGTGATGCATCTTTCCTCAGACTGCAAGAAAATATGGCATGTGCACAAGATGTGAGATGTAGTGGTAAATGCACCTCGTGACGATGTTTGAAGATGACAATGTTGGTTCTGCTGTAGTTGTGTATGGTGGCTCATGAAACTATAGCTGAAGAATGAACACTGCTATAGCTAGTTGTGTAGGATATTTTTGATGGAATGGAGTTTGTAGGATATTTTTGATGGTGGAGCCACCAGAACTCCTCCTCAGAACGAGATAGAACCTTGAACACCCTGTAGGATATTTTTGATGGTGGAGTTTTAGTCTCACTCTCCTTCATCTCTCTCCTTCATCTCAGTTGCCTTCTTGTACAGCTTTGCTGCTGTCTCAAAGTCTTTCTGTGAACCAGAACAATATCCATTTAGCAAAGTATATACAGTTTAACACCAATGTAGAATTTGAAGGGACATTAGTAATTTATTTGAGTTTTCTGAGGTTTGAAACAACAAAAACATAAATAAGGAAGGAATATGCTGGAAACAAGTTTTTACTTTGAGGCAGCTGTATGTTCGACACATCAAAGTTTAAAACTACAGAGGAAACATGAAACTACAGACATTCTCAGAGGGTTTAATTGTCACTGGTGAAGAGTACTTCTATTATTTTGCAGCCTGACAACACAACGTGGGGGTAAGCTTCACATGATTGGTTGGTTGGTTGTTGTTTAATGCCACACTCAGCAATATTCCAGCTATATGGCGGTCTGTAAATAATCGAGTCTGGACCAGACAATGCAGTGATCAACAAAGCTTCATATGATGCTGCATGTCATTGACATTCACAGATCTAGTGCAACCCCAGAAAACACCTCTTAGGAGGACCAAGGATCATATTCACAAGCAGATCCTGGCATAGTTGAGGGACATAACTCTGTACAACAAATTCACAGGGTATAAACTAACCCAAATATGGAAGTGAAATGAGTTGTTTAAGAAAGGATGAAAAACATATTTCTGTCAAATCACTACATATTTGTCCCAGTCTGGACCAGGCAAGCCTTTAGTTGATAGTGTTCAATGAAAGTCGTAAGGAAATGATGGATGGTTGTGGGCTGGTTTACCTATGTGGTCAGTTATTTCATCTACTAATTTAAGGTCTGGCCACCTGAAGTAAAATTAGAGGATCTGAGTCCCTGGGATACATTTTTAGAGTAACATGAAAGAGGTATCCCAAACAAGATATTATTGCTCACCATTTCATACTTCATGACAGCAAGATTGCGCAAGGTTTCTGCAACGGTAGGATGACTTGGTCCAAAGCTCTCCTCATAGATTTTCAGTGCTCTTTCATACAGAGGCTCAGCCTCACTGAACTTGTTCTGGACAAACAGAGAATGTTGAATTCTTGAACATATAACCATTTAGGAAAAATAGACAAATAATACCAAAATAATCTATGTTACCTGTTGAGAGGAGCCAGCTTCTAAATGCCACTTAAAGGAGAACTGTTGAGAGGACATGAAAGACTTTTTTAAATGAACTCACCTGTTAACTCACCTCTAAGTGTTGGGAGTAGAAGTAGGTCATCTTGGATAAATTCACCTGTTCACCTGTTGGGAGTACAGGTCATCTAGGATGACTCACCTGTTGGGAGCACACAGGTCATCTAGGATAACTCACCTGTTGGGAGTACAGGTCATCTAGGATGACTCACCTGTTGGGAGTACAGGTCATCTAGGATGACTCACCTGTTGGGAGTACAGGTCATCTAGGATAACTCACCTGTTGGGAGTACAGGTCATCTAGGATGACTCACCTGTTGGGAGTACAGGTCATCTAGGATAACTCACCTGTTGGGAGTACAGGTCATCTAGGATAACTCACCTGTTGGGAGTACAGGTCATCTAGGATAACTCACCTGGGTCATCTGGGATGACTCACCTGTTGGGAGTACAGGTCATCTAGGATAACTCACCTGTTGGGAGTACAGGTCATCTAGGATGACTCACCTGTTGGGAGTACAGGTCATCTAGGATAACTCAACTGTTGGGAGTACAGGTCATCTAGGATAACTCAACTGTTGGGAGTACAGGTCATCTAGGATAACTCACCTGTTGGGAGTACAGGTCATCTAGGATGACTCACCTGTTGGGAGTACAGGTCATCTAGGATGACTCACCTGTTGGGAGTACAGGTCATCTGGGATGACTCACCTGTTGGGAGTACAGGTCATCTAGGATGACTCACCTGTTGGGAGTACAGGTCATCTAGGATGACTCACCTGTTGGGAGTACAGGTCATCTGGGATGACTCACCTGTTGGGAGTACACAGGTCATCTGGGATGACTCACCTGTTGGGAGTACACAGGTCATCTGGGATGACTCACATGTTGGGAGTACAGGTCATCTGGGATGACTCACCTGTTGAGAGTACAGGACAGCAAGGTTAACCAGCGCAGTTGCCACAGATGGGTGATGTGGACCAAAAGACTTCTCCCTGATGTCCACAGCCTGCTTGTACAGTGGCTCTGCCTTCTCATACTTGCCCTGTAAATGGAGACCATCACATCTCTCACATGATCTCCGTCCAATATGAAACATATTTTTTATTTGAAAATGTTCTTTCATATTCATAAATTCTGACCTTGATCTAAAACCGTAATGTTAATCCCCTGACTAGGCATATGATACAAACATATATTAAGCTGCATCACCTGCACTGTTAGTGAACGTGTTCAGAGTAAAAAACAGACCATCCATTTATCAAAACAGCACTATGAACATTGAGTATGAAAGACCTTGATTGAAGTGACAACAACAATCAGTCAGACTTCTCTCAACACAATGAGGACGCCAATACTTCTCACAGGGAATTTAGACCGCCTCCGTGGTGTAGTGGTTAGAGCGTCCGCCGAGAGCGGAAGGTCGTGGGGTTTGATCCCCGACCGCATCATACCAAAAGACGTTAAAATATGGTACTTGTTGGTCCCTGCCTGACGCTCGGCATTAATGGGTACAACAAGGACTGGTCGGCTCGGAGTCAGTAGAATGTGTCTGAGTGGGGTATTCATGCTTCACTGCGGCATGGTATCTCAGTGGGCTAGCACTATAAAACCAGCTTAAGTCTGGGCTAGTACAAGCAGCCGCACATACACATACATGCACGTCGTCATATGAGCGAAATATTCTCAAGCACGACGTTAAACCCAATTTCACCTCACCTCACCTCATCACAGGGAATTTAACTGTTTGTTGGTTTATTGTTTAGTTCCAAAGTCAGTGATTGATATTACAAGCAATGATCCATCCCCTCTGTGGTCAATGACCTGCAACTGACCAACTCACCGAGTTAGGCTGCAGGTATCCATATCAACCTCATATAACCAGCTTGGTTGTCTGGGACCTATTCTGACCTGGAATCCTCAAAGGGCCGCATCTAAATTAGTCCTATACAAATGTACTATAATATGCCATGATACTTACCTGTTTCTTATACAGCATGGCAAGATTCTTGATGATACCAGCACAGGCTGGGCTGTCTCCACTCAGATACTGAAACACAAGGCGAGAACAAGAGCGTAAATGGACAGTTTATGATGATGATGATTTTTAGATTTAATGTGCGCTTTCCGACATATTGCTTATTTCTCACATAGTGTCATCTGTCGGAAACTTGTACAAATATTCAACCTCAGTTAAAACAGGTTCCTAAAATCATCCAATCCCTTGTCAAACATCATCCAATCCTCTGTCCAACTTATTCCCAGTCCAGATCTGTTAACACAGTATTCAGTCCATACACCACCCAGGCTTCTGCACATACATCATCAATTACTAGACTTTTCTAGCCCTCCTCTAGTGGCCTCCTAATACATCGCCAGAGCTCTATTCTAACCCAAATCCCGAAGTACACACCTTCAGTCTGATCTGCAGCGCCCTCTAATACATCAGCCAGAGGCTCGGCCTTATCAAACTGTTTCCTGTCATTGTACTCACCTTCAGTCTGATCTGCAGTGCCCTCTCATACAGAGGCTCGGGCCTTATCAAACCGTTTCCTGTCATTGTACTCACCTTCAGTCTGATCTGCAGCGCCCTCTCATACAGAGGCTCGGCCTTATCAAACTGTTTCCTGTCATTGTACTCACCTTCAGTCTGATCTGCAGTGCCCTCTCATACAGAGGCTCGGCCTTATCAAACTGTTTCCTGTCATTGTACTCACCTTCAGTCTGATCTGCAGTGCCCTCTCATACAGAGGCTCGGCCTTATCAAACTGTTTCCTGTCATTGTACTCACCTTCAGTCTGATCTGCAGTGCCCTCTCATACAGAGGCTCGGGCCTTATCAAACTGTTTCCTGTCATTGTACTCACCTTCAGTCTGATCTGCAGTGCCCTCTCATACAGAGGCTCGGCCTTATCAAACTGTTTCCTGTCATTGTACTCACCTTCAGTCTGATCTGCAGTGCCCTCTCATACAGAGGCTCGGCCTTATCAAACTGTTTCCTGTCATTGTACTCACCTTCAGTCTGATCTGCAGCGCCCTCTCATACAGAGGCTCGGCCTTATCAAACTGTTTCCTGTCATTGTAGAATGCTGCCAGGTTGTTGAGAGACTGGGCCAGGTCAGCGTGATCCGGACCCAGCGTCGCTTCTCTCATCTCCAACGACTTCTTGAAGAATGTTTCAGCAGTACTGAAAAGCAGGGATGTACATGGAAGTTTGATTGTTGCTTTCAACAGTATTTCATCATTATTACATCTTGCTAGCTGAAGAGTGGGAAGAAAGTCTGAAGCTATGCAGGTCTCAGGCATTCACAACTTCAGTAAAACCTGGGAAAAACCCAGAAACATAATCAAGGTAAAACTCAGATTTGAGCCCCAATCCTAAGTTGGGATGCTACAGAACTCTGGCGAGCACTATTTCCATGACTGCAGAATAACCCCCTCACTATTTCCATTATTTGCATAACTTCTTTCAGTGGCTTTCCAGGATTTCAATGATTTGCAACTTCTTTGAGAGGCTTTCCAAGATTTACATACTTTCTTTGAGTGGCACTTTAGAAGTTGGGCCAGGGAAGTACAATATTGACAAACTACATGGATAACAACTTTAACAAACGACATTTCATTACAGATTCTTCTACAATTGTCAAGCAGGAATCATCCATAAAGTTTGTCAATATCATGATCTGCATGGAGTTACCTTCTCTTACCAGGTAGAATTACACTTACTTTAGCCCTATGAAACATACATGATTAAAACTTCATTTCAATAACAAACAACAAGATGAGTAGAAATCAAAAGGTAAACACTCTCACTCGAAGTTGCTCTGCAGGTAGTACAAGACCCCGAGTTCGTTGAGTGTACGAGCCTGTTCAGGGGAGTCAGATCCCATGGCCAGCTCCTCCAGATGAAGAGTCCTTCTACGGAGCAGGTCGATGCCTCGTATCTGACCCTGGGAAAATGTGAAGGTTTAAACACTGATACACTGTAGAGTTCAGACACAGAAAATTGTATTGGCCAATACACCAGTAGTGTTGTCCTTAAATCTTAGTAGTAACAGTCAAGGAAGTTTCCCAACAAATCAGTATTTAGCTGATAAACACTTGATAGTAAGCATTTACCATTTTTCTTCTGATACACACGAACACAAGTGTATTTTAAGCCATTTCATAGCCATGTGTTTATTGGAGCACCAGTCGTTACTTCTTCACTGGATTATTTTTAAAAGGGACCATTCATACTGGACCAAGTCTGTATTTCAGAAATGTTGTGGACTGACTGAGTTTGGTTTTACGCCGCTTTTAGCAATATTCCAGCAACATCACAGCAGGGGACACCAGAAATGGGCTTCACACATTGTGCCCATGTGGGGATTCGAACCCGGGTCTTCGGCATGACGAGCCAACGCTTTAACCATTAGGCTACCCCACCGCCCCAGAAATGTTGTGGAGATCATAACACACATGTAAGACCATTAACAATCAGATACTCACTGAATTGACTCTTGGTGTTCTGGCTTTCTTCTTGATGGACATTGCTCGCTTCTTCAAAGGTTCTGCTTGCTCATGTCTGAAACGTGAAGATTTGGGTTAGAATTGGTCTTCAGTAACCCATGTTTGTCGTAAGAGGCAACTAACGAGATCGGGTGGTCAGACTCGCTGACTTGGTTGAGACATGTCAATTGCGTATCCCAATTGCGTAGATTGATCCTCATGATATGTTAATCACTGCATTGTCTGGCCCAGACACGATTATTTACAGACCGCCGCCATATAGCTGGAACATTGCAGAGTACAGCATTAAACAACAAACCAAGCAACCCCATTAACCCTCTGGAATCAGCCTGAATACAGTCCCCAGACATCTCTCCATGACCAGCATTGCTTCCATTCCATCTAATTTGTCTTCTATGCGCTGTACATAGGACCATGTACCACATAACGCTGCTTGTACCAATGCATTGCATGATCGCAATAGTAAATAACTTTTACCCAGGAACTGATGCATAGAGTGACCATAATGAGTGGATGACTGACGTATTTTCAACATAGACCTTCAACATTCTCAACACAATGAATGCTTTGTGGAAAAGGGCCCAGCAATTTAAACTTTAAATCATTCTTAAATCCAATCCTAAACCATGCACACAATCACACTCAAAACTTAAATACAACCAACATGGAAATTAATAGAAATCAGAGCTCTAGATAAGGGCCATATCGGCGTATGTACGGATAAAAAATAAGCACGATACGGTAGGAAATGATTTTAAGGTTTTTCCAGTACTCCTATATTGCAAAAATAAGGAGAACTTACTCCTGATGTTGAAAAATTATCTGGAGCCCTGGAAATAATACTTGGAACATTTTAATGATAATAAAAACAGGCACTGAAGTGGAAAATAAGACCCATGGCATCTCAATCGAAAATCAAAGATTAAATAGAACAGAATACAATTAATGACAGATGAAAGATTCAATGACTGGAACACAAACTACACAAAATCCCATCTTACTTTTCTTGTTTTTGATACAGTAGAGCTAAAGCATCCAGTTCCTTTGCCAGGAGGTAGTGATCTCTCCCGTAAGCATTCTCATAGATCTCCAGAGCCTGTTGGTAGTAGGCCTGGGCTGTGCTGAACTTGCCCCACTGAGCGTGGAGGCCTGCCAGCTGATGTAGTGACCTTGCCACCACTGGATGGTCAGGGTCAAGGGCAGTTTCTCGCACCTCCAGAGCTCGCTGCAGTGCGGGCAGAGCCTGGGAAGTCAAATATAGATATACTGTAAGTATGTTTATACACTCATGTATGTATACACTCATATAACAAATGAGGGATATAATGAACAGTTACTCTTGTCCTGGCCACTTGCTGTATATTTCAGTCGAAATGCATACAGATTCTAGTACATTTCTTCGGTTGAGTCCCATCCAGGATTCAAACCCACACCCTCAGAGTCAGGCACCTAATCGCCAGCACACAAAGTCAGCCGCCTAACCCGCTCAGCCACCACGGCTTCCACCGCTGATTATGGTTATAAGGAATTACAATTAGTAGTCCTATTGCATTAAATATTATATCATATATTATTACATACTTTACTGTATATTCATATCAAGTTTTGATTAATTAAATGTTTTCTTGGACTCTGTTTTGTCAGTTCATTCAAAAATGACACCATTGGTTAAAGATCATAATTCACTGTCACAGTCAAAATACATGTCACTGTAAACCAACAAGTTATGAGTTATGAGTAACAAAATGAGAGATATCTGGGATTTCCAACCACAAACAGCAGATCCTGACACTAACAACTGTCTGGAGCCCAGCCTTTGAAGGCTTACAGTCACTCTGAGACAGTACCTGCTTGAGCAGTCCCATATCCTTAAGGAATCTCCCCAGTGTCTCGTACATGTCTGCAATCCGTGCTGGGGTCAGGAGGCCGTCAAAGTGACCTGAAGCTGATCCAACATTATGGACTGAAGTTTCTCCTCAACACAATATACATGTCTACACTACCTGATCTTTGGAACAGGTGTGAAAAACAACACCATCTCAGACCAAATGCCTATGAATATATTGTAGACATATAACAGAATGATCAAGTCAACAAAGAAACTCCTTATTATCATGATTATTGTTGTTGTTTTTACACTACAGTTAGCAACAATAAAGCAATATCACAGCGGCCACACAATGAAATCTTTGTTGGACAAACCAGTGGCTGACATTATGAGAACCTCCCAACACCCTTGTCGTATCAGGCAACTAACAGGATCGGGTGGTCAGGCTCACTGACTTGGTTGACACATGTCATCGTATCCCAATTGTATAGAAAAATGCTCATGATGTTGATCACTGGATTGTTTGTTCCAGAATCGATTATTTACAGACTGCCACTGTAAATAATCCAGTTGAAGATTTTATGAGTGGTTATGAGGGTCCAGTGACACAAAATCAACCAAGTCAGAGAGCATGACCACCCTCTGGTCACCTCCTACAGCCAGGGGGGACCAATTCTACCACAGCATCAGCACATGTAAAATAGTTCATGAAGTTTCCGTGCTGTCATTGCCCTTTGAAAAGAACATATTACTCTATATTTTGATCACAATATACATATTGTAGAATGGCTCGATATTTTAACTCCTCACTCTATATATAGAGTAAACAATCAGTCATATTTTCACTTACTTTCTTCTAATTTTTTAGTGGCAGTGAAGTAGGCATCAGGCATCGAGTTCTTATCTCCCCCCTACAATTTGCCAGTAGCTGATGAGCTCCGAACAACGACCTCTGAAACAAACCAACACAGAGCTACCACAAGTACTTATACATGTGTCTTGCCTTATCAAGTGCCAACAAAAGTCTGTGAATTTATATGATGTGGCTCAGTGTTAAACGTTATTAATACCCTTCTTACGCAGCACAGTAAACCACATCAGTTATATGCTTATGTAATTCAAACAAAGATAGAGACTGAAGATTGACTTCACAACTCACTTTGCATAGAGTCTCTGGAACACAGACAGGTTGAGGATGCAGGACTTCAGCATCTCCTTGTCTCCTGTAAGCTTGATGAGCCAGGGCATCTCATCACAAACACGACAGGTCACCTTCCCCAGACTGAAACATGACCAGGTTAGCAGGAACGGCCAGGCATTGCCAGGAATAATCTACTACTGTATTCAACTTGACACATATAGTCAATACAGAGTGTTGCTTACTCAATCAGGAAAGTGACAGGCAAAACCTGATGAGGGTTAACACAGGGTATACTCAATGAACATACTTTATATGAAACCTTGCAGTGCAGCTGTGTAAACGTAACACAAATCAAATGAGCTCAAGTCTGTGCATAATTTTCTTTGTTCCTTTAGCCTAATATTTAATAATGTATAGGCAGCGTTAAAAATTCCGCCTGCCCGACCATCGGAACAGTCTATTTTCATCTCGGACGATCAAATTTCAAAAGCAGCCTGTCTGGTGCTCTGGTAGATATTTCTTTTATCTTGATTTTGAGGCAGAAAATGCAACAGATTTCTGGTTTGTAAACCAGGCCATGTACCTTAGCCTTAACGTTACAATACATGCAGTAAAGTATTCAGAAACTTGAATTTACTTTGGTTTTTTATTGTTGAAAACCAGGCAGGCAAGTTTGTATCCGCACTGGTAATCTTTAAAGTTACCAGTCCAGGTGTCTGGCTTAGAATTTTGGAAGTTTTAAACACTGGTATAGGGTAGGTAAGTGCAGGGTTGTGACACAGTGTTGCATGAGAAATGTTGTCATGTGTGAGATGTAATCTAAGAGCTCATGTTGTCTGACATGGGCACAGTGTGTTAAGCCTATTTCTGGTGTCCCCCGCCGTGATATTGCTGGAATATTGCTAAAAGCGGCGTTAAACTAAACTCAGTCAGTCAGTCATGTTGTCTGAGGACTTGAATACCAGGCCTAAGCATGATTTGTTGGTAGTGAAATAGTGAAACATGGAGAAACATACTGAATGCTAAACCATGAAGACTGGTCAAGGAACTGGTCATTCTGACATGACCCATGATGGGACGTCCTCCGATCTTTGCTCATAGTTAAGAACCAAGTTAGTCATAAACAATCTGATTGACTATTATGTTAACAGGAGTGCAAAGGTATACACAAACATTTAAAGTCAAATAGTGGGAAACAACTCACTGTAGAAAGTTAGAGAAATACTCCACCAATTCCTGCCGAGTGGCCTCAAAACTGACTTCAACATCATCCTTACCAAAGCAGTAGTCAAAAACTGCTTGCCTGACCTGAAAGTAGGATGAAACATGAGTAGAAACGATAAGACCTTGTACTACTACCTAATACTGCAGACTTATTGATACCCCAGCTTACTGTCTAACTGAAGCCCTCAATATACACCTCAGTGGTATCATGCCAGAGTGATGCAGGAACCGCTTGCACAAAGCTACGGCAATCATAACTCCTATACTTAAATGTAGGCTTATGATCGTCTTAGTGCTAAGATTGTCTTGTGCAACTGGATCCAGGTGGGGAATACCTTAGACAGAAACCATCTCTGTCTTCTCAGTCTTGTTTCAAGGAGAAAAGAGGAACAGCCTCATCACCTAGTCATCCAAGTCTACTTTCTGGGTTAGCTACACAATTATCTGTACATGGACCTCTTGGACTTTCTGAGAGTTAATGACTGTGGTGCTCTTTCCTGCTTTTATTACATACCCATTTAATGTTATGACAGCAATACAGCCATGAAATACTGTGAGCATAAGCAAATTCTGTGTTGCACTACTTTTTCCAATGTTTGGCAATACTATACAAGGTAATGGCAAAGAACGAAGATTATTTCCTTTCATACTTTCATTTTCATTGGTAAATTCTTCTACCAGACCAGTTACCTGTTCATGGGCAAATGTGAGGAGTCCTGAGTGGTACTTGATGATCAGGTGTGATGAGAAGGCCTCGTAGAACTGTGCCAGCAGATTCCATGTCAAACTGGGGATCAGCCGAAACAGCTCCTCCTCCCTCATGCCGCACCGACTGGCACACATGTAGCACAGGATCTGAAACACAGGTAGCACAGGATCTGAAACATGGGTAGCACAGGATCTGAAACACAGGTAGCACAGGATCTGAAACACAGGTAGCACAGGATCTGAAACACAGGTAGCACAGGATCTGAAACACAGGTAACACAGGATCTGAAACACAAGCAAAACAGGATCTGAAACACAGGTAGCTCAGGATCTGAAACACAGGTAGCACAGGATCTGAAACACAGGCAAAACAGGATCTGAAACAAAGGGAACACAGGATCTGAAACACTGGGAGCACAGGATCTGAAACACAGGTAGCATAGGATCTGAAACACAGGTAGCACAGGATCTGAAACACAGGTAACACAGGATCTGAAACACAGGTAACACAGGATCTGAAACACAGGGAACACAGGATCTGAAACACAGGTAGCACAGGATCTGAAACATGAGTAGCACAGGATCTGAAACACAGGTAACACAGGATCTGAAACATGGATAGCACAGGATCTGAAACACAGGTAACACAGGATCTGAAACACAGGTAACACAGGATCTGAAACACAAGCAAAACAGGTAAACAGGATCTGAAACACAGGGAACACAGGATCTGAAACACAAACACTGGGAGCACAGGATCTGAAACACAGGTAGCACAGGATCACAGGATCTGAAACACGGGTTGCACAGGATCTGAAACAAAGTTAGCACATGATCTGAAACAAAGGGAACACAGGATCTGAAACACAGGTAGCACAGGATCTGAAACACAGGAAGCACAGGATCTGAAACACAGGAAGCACAGGATCTGAAACACAGGTAGCACAGGATCTGAAACACAGGTAGCACAGGATCTGAAACACAGGTTGCACAGGATCTGAAACACAGGTAGCACAGGATCTGAAACACAGGAAGCACAGGATCTGAAGCACAGGATCTGAAACAAAGGTAGCACAGGATCTGAAACACAGGTAGCACAGGATCTGAAACACAGGTAGCACATGATCTGAAACACATGATCTGAAGCACATGATCTGAAACACAGGTAGCACAGGATCTGAAACAAAGGGAACACAGGATCTGAAACAAAGGGAACACAGGTAATCTGAAACGGTAAAGATCTGAAACAAAGTTAGCACATGATCTGAAACAAGGGACCAACACAGGATCTGAAACACAGGGAACACAGGATCGAAACACAGGTAGCACAGGATCTGAAACAAAGGTAACACAGTATCTGAAACACAGGCAACACAGGATCTGAAACAAAGGGAACACAGGATCTGAAACACAGGGTAGCACAGGATCTGAAACACAGGTAGCACAGGATATGAAACACAGGTAGCACAGGATCTGAAACACAGGTTGCACAGGATCTGAAACAAAGGAAACACAGGATCTGAAACAAAGGGAACACAGGATCTGAAACACTGGGAGCACAGGATCTGAAACAAAGGGAACACAGGATCTGAAACAGAGGGAACACAGGATCTAAAACATGGGTAGCACAGGATCTGAAACACAAGTACCACAGCATACAAAACATTTAGAGCAGGATCTGAAACACAAATAGCACTGGACTTGAAACACTTCACCTTGTCAAACAACAGATGTATTGTCATGGACCCAATCTTCACTTAGCAGATAATCAAATGTCAGTGAAGTCACCTGTCTGATGTAGCCCCTGGTGTCATCAGTTTCATACTCCCCCCTCAGGATGTCAATGATCACAAGGTACAGGTCCTCACAGTCCACTGTGGTCAGCAAGTTGTCCAGGCTGACCCGCAGCTTGTCTTCATGCTGGCAGAAACTGTAACAAACAACAAACCACCCATGTAACAAACAACAAACTACCCATGTAACAAACAACAAACCACCCATGTAACGAATAACAAACCACCCACGTAACAAACAAGCCACCCATGTAACGAACAACAAACCACCCATGTAACAAACAACAAACCACCCATGTAACGAACAACAAACCACCCATGTAACAAACAACAAACCACCCATGTAACAAACAACAAACCACCCATGTAACAAACAACAAACCACCCATGTAACGAACAACAAACCACCCATGTAACAAAAACAACAAGCCACCACCCATATAACGAACAACAAACCACCCACGTAACAAACAACAAGCCACCCATGTAACAAACAACAAGTCACCCATGTAACAAACAACAAACCACCCATGTAACAAACAACAAACCACCCATGTAACAAACAACATGTAACCAACAGAACCCACAACAAACCACCCATGTAACAAACAACAAGCCACCCATGTAACATGTAACAAACAACAAACCACCCATGTAATGTAACAAACCACCCATGTAACAAACAACAAACCACCCATGTAACAAACAACAAACCACCCATGTAACGAACAACAAACCACCCATGTAACAAACAACAAACCACCCATGTAACAAACAACAAACCACCCATGTAACAAACAACAAACCACCCATGTAACGAACAACAAACCACAAACCATGTAACGAACAACAAACCACCCATGCAACAAACAACAAACCACCCATGTAATAGCAACAAACAACAAACCACCCATGTAACAAACAACAAACCACCCATGTAACGAACAACAAACCACCCATGTAACAAACAACAAACCACCCATGTAACAAACAACAAACCACCCATGTAACGAACAACAAACCACCCATGTAACAAACAACAAACCACCCATGTAACGAACAACAAACCACCCATGTAACGAACAACAAACCACCCATGTAACAAACAACAAACCACCCATGTAACGAACATGTAACAAACAAAAACCACCCATGTAACAAACAAACCACCCATGTAACCACCCAAACCATGTAACGAACAACAAACCACCCATGTAACAAACAACAAACCACCCATGTAACGAACAACAAACCACCCATGTAACAAACAATGTAACAAACAAAACCACCCATGTAACAAACAACAAGCCACCCATGTAACAAACAACAAACCACCCAAGTAACAAACAACAAACCACCCATGTAACGAACAACAAACCACCCATGTAACAAACAACAAACCACCCATGTAACAAACAACAAACCACCCATGTAACAAACAACAAACCACCCATGTAACAAACAACAAACCACCCATGTAACAAACAACAAACCACCCATGTAACAAACAACAGAGCACCCATGTAACAAACAACAAACCACCCATGTAACAAACAAACAGCCACCCATGTGTAACGAACAATACAAACTACACATGTAACAACCACCCATGTAACAAACAACAAACCACCCATGTAACGAACAACCACCCACGTAACAAACAACAAGCCACCCATGTAACGAACAACAAACCACCCATGTAACAAACAACAAACCACCCATGTAACAAACAACAAACCACCCATGTAACAGACAACAAACCACCCATGTAACAAACAACAAACCACCCATGTAACAAACAACAAACCACCCATGTAACAAACAACAAACCACCCATGTAACGAACTTGGCTAAAAAGGAGTCAGAAACTGCAGCCATGTTAATGAAAGCAAGTCTGAAAACCTCTAAGTATATATATAGTATCTCCTTTAGTTTCCACCTTCATTGGTTTGAATGCTATAACCTGCCACTGTGTGTTTATTCAATCTGTAAAATGCACTCCTGAATTGTAAAACTGTATGGCTTATCTTGTTTAGGGACCGTTCATAATTTATGGCCAGGGTGGTGATGATGATTTTAATGGAGAAGCATGTACAATGTGAATGAACCCCCTAAAATTTATGTACAAAATAAGTGACCCCAGCCTTTCATGTCATGTGTACAAAATCACTTACCCCTCCCCCCTTCCCATGATTTCTAAGCATAAGTTTAAACATATTTTTATGTACAAAATTGCTGACCCCCTAGTACATGTGTACAAAATTGCTGACCCCCAGCTCCCCAGAACAAAATGGGTGACCCCTTAAAAAATCATCATCATATCTCTCACTCTCTCTCTCTCTCTCTGCCAATACGCGACGCGACGCATACGCGACGACGCCGCACGCACACACACACACACACACAGTGGCAATAAATTATGAACGGACCCTTAGGGGGATATTACAAGACAACTGTTTCCACAGAACTGCTATATGTGAACAGTTCCTCTGCACATGACACAATAACCTCAAGAGTTTCTGCAAGTATATAGTGCAACCACTTCAGTTCTACTAAAACACATTTTGGTGAGGCAGCCTCCGCTCATGTCAGTTCACATACAAGTACAAACTCAACTTGGTTGACACACAAACATTTCTGGTCTCTAGTTTACTTTCAATAACTTCTTCTCACTTTAAATAATTATGAGGTGAGGTGAGGTGAAATGGGGTTTAATGTCGTACTTGAGAATATTTTGCTCATATGGCGGCGTGCATCGTGCGTGTGTATGTGTATGTGTCGCGGCTGCTTGTACTAGCCCAGACTTAAAGCTGGTTTTATAGTGCTAGCCCACTAAGATACCATGCGTAATGCAGTGAAGCATGAATACCCACTCAGACACATTATACTGACTCCGAACCGACCAGTCCTTGTTGTACCCATTAATGCTGGCGCCAGGCAGGGGACCAGCCAGTACCATATTTTAATGTCTTTTGGTATGACGCGGCCAGGGATCGATTCCTCGACCTTCCGCTCTCTGGGCAGATGCTTCAACCACTACACCACGGAGGCGGTGACATAATTATGAGAGATCACCTTTGTATTGTAAACAGACATCATGCTGGTCATTTAGTCTCATATGCAATACAACTGATATGTTCAGTTATAAGATGTATTTTATGCTCCCCAAATTGTTTCCATTACTCAAAAAGAATGACTTGAAAATTGAATTCAACATCTTTAATGATGACCAAAAACAAACGGGCTAATTATACATAGACTGGAAATTAATTAAAATCCCAGTGCTGAATTAATGTGAATTCTTATGAGCGTAGCAAGTTGTAGCTCACCTGGCAATGTGTCTGGCCAGCACCATGACATACAGTGGACAGCAGGTGGACGGTGTCCGGCAATGTGTCAGTATCTTGGATTCAAACTCAGGGCTTACGAAGGCATCGAGAGTGGCCACCTCCGCTCGTATCAGTTCCTTCACATTCTTGTTGGTTAATGGTTCTACACAAAGTGTTGGCCACGATCTGAACAAATATAAACATTGTATAAACATTTCACCACTTTCCACTAAACAGACTATCTCCATAAAAAATATTTGCATTACCACGTGAAAAGGTTGTCTTTCCCCCTGTATCCACCATGAACCAACTTGTACAATTATTATTATGCTAACATTTGTATAGCGCCGATATCCAGTTCAGCTCCTCAAAGGCGCTTTGTTTTTCAATCGATCACTGGATGTCATTCTCAACGGCACATCGTATTATCAATCTCAACTCCCTTGGGATCATACAACTCTTGCAGCCACTAGGCGCACCAAGTTAGTGTGGCTTTCCCATCCTTATGAGGTTCACAGCTGGGTGGTGGGACATATTCACCATCCAAGTTTATGAGGTACCCACTGGGTTTTGCATGTATTCACACCAAGTTGACTCATGGGTTCTTTTACGCACAGGGTTGTGTACTGTACACTAGGGTTGTCACAAGTGTTGCTCAAGGTTTTTACGCCCGGTCACAAGTGGGCTCGATCCCGGCACCTCAAGCTCGCTGGATCACTAGCCTGGCGCTTTAGACAGCTCGCCCACCACGGCCCACAATTCTCCCTTTACCAGCACTAATAAAAACATGATAAAAAAATAACTCAATATCATGGAACATTTGTTATCATAAAATCTCACAAACAGTATCTCATGTGTCTGTAACATACCTCCAGGTCTGAAGACATGTGTCCTCATGACATGACACGATTACCCGGGCATCCACTGGCAGCGGGTCCAGCAGCCACTTCAAGTGAACATCTACTTGCTGAAAATCATCATCATCATCATCATCATCATCATCATCATCATCATCATCATCATCATCATCATCATCATCATCATCATCATCACCACCACCACCACCACCACCACCAGGTGTATGTCCGAGAGTGAAATACACATCATGTCAGAATATCACACATAAAAACTCTAAATCATCATCACTATCAGATTCAAATCATGGGTCAAGAGCAAGTTACTCGGAGCCAGTAGACCAGTGAGTGTAGCTTACCGGGAACCTGTCGACAGAGTCCAAGATGAGGATGGTGCCACCTGGGGACTTGGCAGATACTTTCTCCAGCCAGCGGGGGAACTCCTCCACCAGACGCACTGGGTCACCGGTCAGGGCTGGGGGTGTGGTCACATGCTGCATCAGCTGGCACAACAATACAGATATGAAGCGGCTCTACAGGATGTATATCACAAGAGGCGTCTAAAAGAATTGTGAGGTCAGGCTCGCTGACTTAGATTTGATGCAGATTTGAGACCTAAGACTAAGTTGGGATGCTACTCTGGCCAGCAGATACTGCAGAATTCATTATGACCAGCATGCCCTCTCACTATTTCCATGATTTGCATAACTTCTTTGAGAGGTTTTCCATGATTTGCATAACTTCTTTGAGTGGCTTTCCATGATTTGCATAACTTCTTTGAGAGGTTTTCCATGATTTGCATAACTTCTTTGAGTGGCTTTCCATGATTTGCATAACTTCTTTGAGAGGCTTTCCATGATTTGAGAGGTTTTCCATGATTTGCATAACTTCTTTGAGTGGCTTTCCATGATTTGTTTGAGTGGCTTTCCATGATTTGCATAACTTCTTTGAGAGGTTTTCCATGATTTGCATAACTTCTTTGAGTGGCTTTCCATGATTTGCATAACTTCTTTGAGAGGTTTTCCATGATTTGCGTAACTTCTTTGAGAGGCTTTCCATGATTTGCATAACTTCTTTGAGTGGCAATTTAGAAGTTGGGAAGTACAATATTGACAAATTGTATGGATAACAACTTTTTTTTCTTTCCATGGGTGCAACGTTTTGATACAGATTCTTGTACTGTTGTCTGGCAGGAATGATTCTTGACTCACAAAGTAAAAGAAGTTGTTATCCATAAAATTTGTTAGCACATAACTCATTAGAAGACTAAAATAATTAAATCCCCATGTTGGAGCCAAGCCTCAAGTGGTAAATGTCATATATATTCAACTTTTATGATAATCATGAACATGAGCAACATGCTGACTGAGAATGGATGATGTCTCGGACATCAGTACTTCATTCAATTCTACAATCATCTGATCCTGGGACATCAAAAGGACACTGCATGTGGCGCCATCTATGTCCTGTGTTTGTTGTACCTGTGAGGTGAGTCTCCGGATCATGATGATGGGGTCTGCGCTGATGGAGGATGGGGAGCCCACAAAGTGGAACAGCACCAGGGTGCCCGGACATTTCTCTTGCTGCAGCTGAATCCTGTAAGACAGTCATCATGTCAGATTGTGTTCTATGGAAGAAGGTGAGTTGAAATGGGGTTATTCAAGATTAATGTGCATTGATGCTTGTACTAGATCAGACTTTGGCCAGTTCTATAGTCCTCGCCTACGAAGATACGATGTGCAAAGTACAGGGATATGTACACAGACACAGCAGATTGACTCCGAGCCAACCAGTCCCTGTTTTGTTGCCTTTATGCAGAGTACCAGGCTGAGTAACAAGTACAATTTTGCATCTAATAATGTCTAATAGTTTATTCTCTGTTGCATAATTACATCTTGTGTCCCATCAATCAATGAGCCACTTGCTATGAAGTCATACAGACTTGTACATGAGTGCATTTAAATTAGCCTTTAAGAAGTGTAAATAACAGATGCTTACTTCACAGAAATCTAATTGTTTGTTTGTTTGTTGTGTAACGCTGCACTCCAGCTATATGGTGGCAGTCTATAAATAATACAAAATCTGGACCAGGCAATCCAGTGATGAACAGCATGAGCATCAATCTACGCAGTTGGGATACGATGACATGTGTCAACCAAGTCAGCGAAACCTGACTGCCCAATCCTGTGGTGAAGTGTCACCTCTTACGACAAGCATGTGCTGTTGAAGACCAATTCTAACCAGGATCTTCACGGGCTAGAAATCTAATTCCAATGGCTAGACAAGGCTATTGACAAGGCTATTGACAAGGCTATTGCAAGGCTATTGACAAGGCTATTGACAAGGCTATTGAATACTGACCACTTTGAGAGGAGGAGTGACCGTCCCGACCCTGAGCCCCCGGTCACCAGTAAGGGGGGTAGAGGTCCGGCTGCAGACACGTGGGCATTTAGCCTCTCGTAGTACTACAACATCACAAATCACAATCGCATAAACTTCATAGAAACAGAAGGTATGTTTGAGTTAATTTTATTATCATATCCATGCTTATAGGTGAGGTGAAATTGGGTTTAATGTCGTACTTGAGAATATCTCGCTCATATGACGACGTGCATGTGTGTGTATGTGTGGCTGCTTGTACCAGCCCAGGCTGGTTTTATAGTGCTAGCTCACTGAGATACCATGCCACAGTTAATGAATATCCCACTCAGACAGGAAAGGTCGAGCCGACCAGTCCTTGTTGTACCCATTACTGCCGAGCGCCAGGCAGGGACCAACAAGTACCATATTTTAACGTCTTTTGGGATCGAACCCGCGACCTTCCGCTCTCCTGGCGGACACTCAAACCACTACACCACGGAGGCAGTCCTCCATGGTTATAACATTATAACAATACTACACCTGTATGCATACACATCAACAATGAATAAAAATAGTTCACACTGCCAGCTCTGTTGCATGCAAATATATACAGCTGTTTGAATCATTTATCTTATCAAAGTGGATATTTGGTTTTGTGTTATGTAAATATTTCAGATACTTGACAGTTGCCTGTAAATAATCAAGTCCAGGAAAACCAGTGGTGGATATTATGAGCAATAACCCATGCTGTGAGGGTATGCTGACATTCAGTCAACCCTGTCACAAAGCCTGACCACCAAATAAACATTTGCTGTTGGGGGATACATGGAGATACAGCCGTTTATCAGGGTGTGAGTGAGTTCAAATTTTATGTCGCATCAGCAATATTTCAGCCATATCATGATACATATATATACTTTATAAAAAGCTGTCATTGAAGGACAGTATAACAACTAAATTATCACAGATCATATTCAAAAATAGTTTGAAATCATTTAAAAGTACTAAATCATTATTCAACAACACAACATAAAATGGGGCTATGGATTGCCATAAAACATTGCCAGCGACAAAAGTTAGGCCACCATACTGGGGGCTATGGGGTCTTACAATGCTTACCCAGCCAGATTTACACCATCCCTCTAGTTGCTGGCAATTGCATGAAAGTTTAACAACAATCAAAATTCACAAATATACTGCAATTAAAACTGTTGTCGGAATAACATTCATTGAAAGAATGGTTTGGCAGTACCCTCTCGGGGAACAGCTTTGTATATTTTTGGATGCCACGAATAGTATTCACAGGAGACAAGCAATCCATTGCAAGTACACAGTAATGTCTATTCAAGGAAGAGCAAAATAAAGTTTCATAATTAACCTTACCCTTTCAAAACCCAGTTCACAACTGGAGTAAACCGCATAGCTGAGAGCCTCCATCTGCTCATAGTCATAGTGGACGTCCCACACCACGCCCTCGAACAGCTCAGGGGCGTCGGTTGTCAGTTCCTCTGCTTCTGTCTTCTCACGCAGACTTACTCCTAGCTCCTTGAATTGACAAAATATATCTGTTATATCACTCAACACATGATGTTGTTTAACCTTACGATGGTTTATGAATTATTAGTGTCATTGTAACACATTGCACAATTATGTATGTGTGTGGGGTCTTATAGAAAAATACCCGTGAAAATCCGGGTTAGAATGTACTTTCAGTAACCCATGCTTGTCGTAAGAGGCGACTATTGGGATCGGGTGGTCAGACTCGCTGACTTGGTTGACACATGTCATCGGTTCCCATTTGTGTAGATCGATGCTCATGCTGTTGATCAGTGGATTGTCTGGTCCAGACTCGATTATTTACAGACCGCCGACACATAGCTGGAATATTGCTGAGTGCGGTGTAAAACTGAACTCACTCAATCATATAGAAAAATATGAAATCTTAACATTTGTTATTGTATTTCAATCTGAGGAACAAGATACCCAGGGATGACCTAGCCACTTGCGTACATGCATGGAGAAGCTCCGCAAGAAACCCTGAATCTTTGGTTCCACATTTTCCACGAAAATTACAAACATAGCAATTTTATGACACTTTACAACACTATCACAGAAGAACACACATTGAACTATTGTTCATTAATAAACTTATTACTTTTGCCTATTCAGTATGTCACATAGGTTACCATCTTGAAGATCTTGACAAGTTCCGTGTAAACCATTTCTGCTCCCTTATTTGGCGATGAGTACCCTGAGATGACCTTGACATTGCGACTTTCTTTGACCTTGGTCTTTATTTCTTTAGCTTCACCCTGACTAGTCCTGCATTGAAATATAATAAACACTAAGTTGCAAATATCACAAAGAATATGTCAGTCAAACTGCTGGGTGAACGGAGGTATACTTCAAATTATAGTTACTTGCCTAGGGATATACCACATGTAATGGGGTAACATGTGCATCAGCCAATTATTGTTCAATGTTGTTACCTTTACCTGATCTGCAACTTGTTCCCTGTGCACAGGACCATGTCACACAACGCAACCTCTTTGATAACATACAAGTATTGGTATGATGCTCACAAAAAAAGGATTGTACACTCATTAATTTGCCTCTTAAACAAATGACCAAAAGCTAACGGATGCAACGCTTGACTAATATAATCTAGTTTCTGACCTCTTGTTACCCGTTTCCCTAAAGCAGTAGACAGTCGGACGGATCTCGGTACTCTCCAGATGACCATGTTTCACCTCAAAACTTGTAAACCTGAAAGATGTAAATTCGAAGCTTGTAATTTAAACCTGAAACATGTAAATCTAAAATTTGCAAAAAGAATTTCCTGAAAAACATCACATTTTAGGATGAGTCATCACAGTGTTACCTATTTGTAGTGTCTCCTAGCAACACAAGAAATACAGAAGCAAGCTCAATCTGTTTCTTCCTCAGTTTTGATCTGTCTCTCGACCATCTGCAAGTCAAAAAAGAATAAACAATGCAGAATGTTATTCAATATAGAAAGCAGCTTATTATGCTAACGCTGATTCCGGAAAGATATTTTGATAAAACATATTTTGATGAAACAAACATTTATCCTTTTTTACAAACCACATCTGATAATGATACAATATATGCAATGTTGTCATCAAGATAAAACCCAATGGCTGATGATGACACTTACGAGTGGTGACAAGTTTTCACTGTCATCATATGGCAGATGGACGATGACGAGACCTCTCCCTTCACTCTCACACAGACTGTTCAAACTGGGGGCGTACTCCTGCAGATATAACTCAATACATTAATCGACCAGCTGATCATTCTCGTAATAGATCATGACAACATAGAGCCAAAACTTGCCAAAAATACTTCCAATCCATATTGATAATGATGGCCCACAATGTAAGGATCAAGAGCTTGTGAGAGCCCTTCTGTTCAGATGCATACAATAATTGATTGATTGATTGTTGTTTAATGCCGCAGTCAGCAATATTCCAGCGAAATGATGGCTGTCTGGAGTGAGTGAGTGAGTGAACACAGCAGTCACTGCGTGTCATTTATAATCACAGCCTGAAATTATTGGCTTTGTATATTTTTCCTGTGTGCTTCAATTAGGCCTAATACTTCTCAAACCCAGTAATACAGCAATGTAGTACTCATCTACCTTTGCCAGGAGCTCGACTTCAGCGTGCATGTTGCTGGGTGCGGAGATGTAGAGGCGGCACACGCTGCTGATGCTGTGGTCGGGGATGGTGGGGATCACCTGGGTCAGGTTGGCGAGGGCAGTGCTCCAGTCATCTGATCAATATCAGTCAGTTATACCATGTATACCATCAGTGTGAAATGATTCAGTTCTGCTATATGGTTTCTTGATATCTCATACCACTATTTCAATTAACTTAGTGACGGCAGCGCATGTGCAGGGCACGTGCATTGCTCATGCAAGGCGAGGCGTCGGCTGCCAGTCTCATCCCAGTTGCTTTCAACAGTAAATACCAAATATTGAAATTATATCTAAAGAATATCTTCGGTCGGTTTATAAGTTGGATAAAGCATTACCCTCGGGCATTACGAAGAAGTAAGGATGTTTTCACTCGAGGAATGCCCGAGGGTCATGCTTTATCCTATACTTATGACATGTTTCTATCAGAAAGATATATTCAAACATATCAAAAGGAAGAAACTAGGTAAAACAGTTTCAAAGCTACAACTGACCTTTATTAACGTTTGTGAAGGGTCCTTCCAGCTCCATGATGTTGTTTGCAAACTCCGGACCACGGAGGAAGGCTGGTTGATGAAGTTGCACCGTGCTACCCAGGGAGGGTTCACTCTCCAGAGCTGTCCACCAGTCTCCAGGGTTTGAGTTACCTTCACATAATCACAACACATAGATACGCTATCTGATTGTCTCCTGACTTGTTGGTTTAAACATAGTTTCTTTCAAAAACCTCCATTCAATTTTTTCTTTTCAATTTAAACCCCTTGGAGAATGTAAGTTACATTAACATCGATGGTAGAATGGGTAATGGGTAAAAAAGTATAAGTATGAATTAAATTTCTCTATTTTCATTTGACAGTTTTGTGAGTGAGTGAGTGAGTTTAGTTTTATTTTCACTCAGCAATATTCCACCTATATGGCGGCGGACTGTAAATATTCGAGTCTGGACAATACAATCCAGGGATCAACAGCATGAACATCAATCTAAGCAATTGGGATATGATGACATGTGTCAAACCAGTCAGCGGGCCTGACCACCTGATCCTGTTAGTCACCCCTTACGACAAGCATGGGTTACTGAAGATCAATTCTAACCCGGATCTTCACGGGTACGACATTTTTGTGAAATGTGGCATGAATGTTATGATTTGTATACATGCAGCTTATAAATTATCTTGTGACTTGGTAAGAGTGAAAAACTGGCTCCTTTAGTCAGACAGCCAGTAAATTAGTATGGTTTATGGCACTTCAACAGTATTCCAACAATATCACATACAGGATGAAAATATGGGCTTCCCACATTGTATTCATGTGGGAATCAAACCCAAATCTTAGTCAAGATGGGCAAACGCTTTACCCACAAGGCTACTCCACCACCCCACCACTCCACGCACCTATGGATGTTTCTTCGGATCTGGACGCTGTGTCAAGATCTTCCGGTGTAAAACCATGGGACAGCTTGGTTAATCGACCCTCCAGCTCTCGTTTAGCTCGAAGAAGATTTTGAATTTCATTTTCCTTTGTTTCTCGAAATATCTGAATATAAGAAAATTAGACACTGCATTCAGATAATCTACAATCATCAATGTCAAGTTGTTACATTTATTCAACAAACACTTTTTCTAGACTATGGTATGTTTTCAACACAATACTACTAAAATTGATCAAGAATATAAAAAAGCGTAATCATCATGATAAGTGAGTGAGTGAGTATGGTTTTACGCCGCTTTTAGCAATATTCCAGCAATATCATGGCGGGGACACCAGAAATGGGCTTCACATATTATACCCATGTGGGGAATCAAACCTCGGTCTTGGTGTGATGAGCGAACTCTTTAACCACAGGGCTACCCTGCCATATCATGACAAGCATCCACATGATAAAGATCTCAAAACATACACTACTCAAAAGGATTTGAGGGCTACTCCAATTGTGAATATTACCACGGTTAGTCTGTCATGACATGACAAGACATGGCAATTCAAAGATCATGATAATGTCAGTTTCTATCACTGTGCTCCTAGACTGTCACAGTTTAATGTTGGACATAACATCACACAACAAACACTCGTCACCTTAAACTGCCGCTGTACTTTGTCTCTATCACTTTCAAAAGCTGAAGCCCTTGCAAGCGCTTGCATCTCTGCATCCAGACAGCTCTCCTTCTCATTCCGGAGTTTGGTACACGTGTTCTGCAGCGCCAAAAGTTCCGCTCTCATTCGCTTGTTTTCCATTTCTAGTTTTTGTTCTTTCTTCTGCATGGCCATAATTTCATTATCTTTGTTGAGCTTGTACATATCAAAGTCCTTCTTGATTCTGTCAACTTCTGGGTTTTCCAGATCGATGGATAGAGCTGAACGTAGACTTCCTCCTTTAGATTTCTTCCCAAATGAAGTGACGCTTCGGAGCGGTCCGAGTTTACCGCGAGGCTTGATCTCGATGGGGATTCTCTTAATGACCCCATTACCATCAAGGTCAGTGCCAAGTATGTCGTCATCATCCTGACCTCGAAGGAATGAGCCCCCAACACCCATTCTACAGGTCTGAAAACATTGAAAACAAGGGAAAAAATCATATTGAATACTGATGCAGTATTCAAAGTGTTTCTTCAGCACAACTTCAACTACAAGTGTGATCAACTGATGTTTTTAAGATAGGTAATAATACATTATTATTACTAACAATATTATTATAAACAATATTCTAGCAGGTAATATAACATTATGAATGTCATCTTATCCCAAGTACATACATTGCTGCTCATGACGTCAATCACTTGATATTCCACAGGTCTCTACCTACGGAAGTCTATAAACTTTACAGGGGTGGATACAGCCTTTTGAGAAAGGGGTGCACAGTTCATTTTCACCTGTTTTCATGCAAGTTTCATTGGTCATTTAATAAACTTTCAGGACAAAAGTGGGGATGCGCACCCCTGCCCCCACTCTGGATCCGCCTATGCTTTACTACTGTTTACCATGTAACTTGTTTATCAGGTGTATGTGTCAGTGATACATACTGTCACACACTATCAAAGAAAGCTTAAAATTGAATCCAAAATGACAAACCTAAAGGAACACGCTGCAAGACTTTCTGCTGTGTGCATACAAGCAATACAGCTGATGGCAACTGCAGCCCCATATCAATGACGACTGTCGAAAATGTCACGTGTCCTTCACAATCCTGTAAAAAATAGAACCTTGTGAAAAAACATTTAATTCTAAAGCCTTTTGCTGCCTGTAATTAGTTTTTATTTGAGTTTAGAACTGAGGAATCATGATTGTATGGAACTGTACCCACAACAACTGATGATCATCATAATCATAGGCTGTACAACTGGGAATTTGCAACTTTGATTTGGTAATTTTCACTTTAAAGGGCAAGTTTACACGAAAATTAACCTTTTTGTATTGCTTTTTTTCATCATTAAAAGTGTTTGTCAAGCAGTTTTATGCAGATATCAGAAGTAGCTAATTTATATTTTGTGTTATATCGATTCATAGTTCCCACATTAGTCGAGAGTTCTATGTCCATAGTAAACACACCATGGTTTATGTCCCTTGGAAATAACATCATTGGTCCCCAACTCATAAATGAATCACGTTGTTAGACCTTATTAGACCCATTTAACGTGGTGCAGATATTGGTGTGGTTCTTGTGTCTCGATGAGCAGGCATCCATCTGTTGCCTAGCCGTCAGCTGGCTATGTAATCAGTTCTACACTGAGATGACATTGTGGTTTGATAAAACGTATACACTGTACCTTGAACTAGAATATCCTGTGTAACCTACGTAACTAGATTGTATAACATTCAACCCGAGCCGGTCGTCTTTCCAGCAGCATCTTCTTGCACCAAAACTAAAACGTATAGCCATCAGTGATTGTTTCAGACTACTTACATGGCACATTTATGTTTATACGTTGCTTGAAACAACGAAAAGTTTCCTTCCAAATATCCGGTGAACACGCCATTTTGAGATACTCGCTTCCCGATAGTGACGTCATACGCATGTCAACATTGTTATACATATTTGGTATTTCCATTGACGTGAGGTTATGAATGAAAATACACACGATCATTTCTATCTTACTGCTTACATTTTCAGTTCTAATGCTTCTTTCGTATTTTTGCATACTTTTTCACGGGATTGATGTCAGTATATATATCCTTTGCTTTGGGACTAGACAGGAGACCAGTCTAAATCAAGAGGCATCAATTACATCATAATCAAAGGGCGGTAACTCTGGCCTGTTTAGCTCGGCAAACAAAGGCATCATAATGGCTTCACATTTCAGCATTTATATTGAGGGTTATACTTTCATTGTAAGAAAAATGAGTGTACATTTTCAAACATTGATAATGAACTAGTTAAAAAATACCATTTTGTTTCTCATAAGAAACATGAATTTTTCATGTACACTTCCCCTTTAATTGAAGAAGTTGATCACTCACATGTAGTGATTTGGGTTTAACATGTATAATGTTGTCTTAAACATGTTGAACATGTGAGCTAGCTTTAAGAGGAAGTCAAACTGGGGAAGTCGGCAGTTAGTGGAAGTCAAACGTGGGATTTGTTCCCAACAACACAATGATCATACTATGACTTAGCCGATCTGTGATGTCTTGACTGTATAGGACTGCTCTCTGCTAAGTATGACTTGGAACCACAAGGACTAAGAGCATCCTTGATGACTGGGCTGGCATTGCATACAGTGAGTGACTTGGGCACAGGTCTCTTTTGACCAATATTCCAGTTATTTATTATCCATATGGGAATAGACATGCAGGTTTAAACTCAGGTTAGTACATTCTTATTCCAGCATATAATAAGACGACTTTGCACTATACCAAGGTGTGCTCGTTGGTGGCCTTGAGCTAGAATATCCTGTGTAACCTTCCTAGGGAGAGCGATAGACCCACCCGCGTGCGGATGTACTAACAGCATGCTGTGACGTTCAGTTTCATTCTATCATTGCTTTTGACAAACACAATCTGACAGTGACACGTTTTATCAAAACCATTGAAGTACTCTTTCAATATATCAATATTCTTTCATACGACAACTAATCTTTAACTAAACTCTAACCTCACCTTGCATGTTTCAGATCAGTTACGATGACATGGTCAAAAATACAGATTTCACTGGAGAGCTCTCAATCTGACATTGTTTACATCTTTTACCGGAAGTGCCATGGACGCTAAGGGGGAAGTAACTCTGAATTTCGTATCCCAGATTAGAGTGTAGGAAGCGTTCATACAATCTAACTATAGTCTGACTGAAAGGATACTGGGTAGACGATCGTACCCACGGAGATTTGTACCCAAGGAAAATGACTAACTCAAAATTCTCGTCAGACTCGTAACTGTTTTCGTGTCCTTTTTCCTTTTACCACAATTTGGCCGACATAAATGACTTGCAGGTATAAATGGTTTGTCAAATCACGAAAAACCTTAAACCACGTGTAACAAGTATATTAATATACCGTAATCTTTCTGTCACATCGCTTTTACGGTATATACATCATACTCCATCCTCTTGAATCGCCAAACAAGGACAATTAAGGAAATAAATAAACAACAGGCAGACGAAAAGCCACTAACGAAAAACATATGACACGTACTGAAAGAAGTCGTGATTAGTTCAATAAATTAAATAGAATCACTTCTTTGCAAAGTTTCATAGTCATCAAATTGTGAATTATGAGCTGTTTATCTACAGCTGGGAATGTTCATATGGAATCAAGTCACGCCAAACTGGAAGAATGAAAACAACCCAACTTTTAAAAGTCAATTTAAAAAAAAAAATTCTATTTCGTTAATTATATCTTTATGACTGTGAAACATCCTGGACTATTTACATAAACATCAGCAACCACGTTGACATGAACACTCCTTGGCAAACATATTGTGACGTCATGATATGTTGTAAGAAATAGAAAAAATGACAATATGATGAAGTGCAAACATCAATCAATCTGTCACCGAACTATTAATGTAAAAACTGCCAGTCACAACAGTGATCTCACCCAAACAACTTGACAGGAACTCGGTTGACATGACAACTCAGACCAGTTTTGTCTCTGTACCCTGTGAGTGATACCGATGTAAGCAGACATAAGTTTACTGTTAGCTGTGACTAAACGTCTACAACGACGTCCATTCCACTTCATCCTTGTCGGTGGCGTCTTCTTTGTTGTTTCCATTAACCTCAAGGTCGGCAGTTAGTTGATATTTTAATATTGTCAGTCGACCGACATATTTGGGAACACCCCAACCAGGTAAAATAGCTGTAAAACCCGCTGAGAGTATTAAAAATTGTATTTAAAGAAATAAATTCTAGAAATATTAAAAGAAGAACGTTATATTCACACAATTGCATTATGATACAGTGAGCGAGTACGGTTTTACGCCACGTTTAATAATATTCCAGCAATATCACGGCGAGGGACACCAGCAATGGGCTTCACATTGTACGAACGTAGGGAATCGAACACCATGTGCAGCGAACGTTTTAACCACTAGGCTACCCCGCCGCCCGGTATGTAGGATATAACTGAATGGTACTCGACCAGTGTTGCCGAAACGTTACTACAGCAAAACGCCCAGTGGTGTTTCCACGCGAAGTTGCTATTTATTTACATGGTGTTAAATGCTAAGTTGCGATTTAAATAGTGGCGTTTTGATGCAAGTTTGCGATTTACATGATGGTGTTTTGATGAGTGAGTGAGTATGGTTTCACGCCGTTTTCAGCAATATTCCAGCAATATCACGGCGGGGGGACACCAGAAATGGGCTTCACACATTGTATCCATGTGGGGAATCGAACCCGGTTCGTCAGCGTGACGAGCGGGCGCTTTGCCCACTAGGCTACCCCACCGCCCTGTTTTGATGAGAAAATGCGATTTAATGATATAATACAGAGATTCGTTTAAAATAGTGGTGTTTTGATGCAAAGATTCGATTTGAATAGTTGTGTTTCGATGCAAAGATTCGATTTAAATAGCGGTGGCTCGATGCAAAGATGACATTTTATATGGTGGTGTTAAGATGCTAAGATGAGATTAACATAGAGGTTTGTTTTAAGAGAAGATGGGATTTAAATAGCTGCTTAACGTCAATTTGCAGTTGTCCGTGTATACCGACGATGGTTTTTCAAGCAAGTTTTCCACCAATTCAATCCATAATGTAGTCCACAACATCGCACGGCCTGTTTGGTAGGCACGTTGAATATAGTGTCCTCTCCTTTCGTAGATGATACAATGGTTGGTGATACACATTTAACTCTGTCGTATCATCTGCAGGTTAACAAGATAACAAGATATGTACCAATTGTTCCCTTTAACCTCGTATAACCTAAGACACCCTTATTCCGACTCCTGACAAACGTTTCCCATGGCCCCCACGTTTGACATGCCCCAGTACCCCATATCCCACCACACAGCAAGGGACGGGGAGGGGAGAGAGGGTGGGGAGGCGGAGATGGACTCACATCCACGGCAGCCGTGAAACTTCAAGGTCCAGTGCTTTGCAGCACTCTCCGTCATACACATGACCAACGTCACTTGTGTAGGAAGGCGATGTACAGGTCACTCACGAGTGTCGTTGACCCGAGATCTACGGGACAGTAATGAATTAACTCGGTTTTCTGGAGGACAAAATCTGATATACCATCAACTCATGAAATATACAGTGGATTAGCAAGGGCGTATGACGTCTAATTATACCTCATATAGACGGACATAGGTTTCTATACGTCCACAGAGAACTTATCTGTAAAATCATTAATACGCAAGGGGCAAACATCTTAACCTTGTAGTACTCCAGAGTGAGAGAGGCCGCTTTAAAGAGCATGGGTTTTGAACATGGGTATTGAACACACCGATACGTTTATAGTTGGTAAATCGCTCTTTTAGTGAAGAACAAAATCAGCTATTCCAGGTCAGAATTTTGGATGCTTTCAAATGTTATTGGGTAAGGGACACCATTCCATCTCGTTTGACGAGGGAATGTATTTGGGACGGTGCCAACAGAGGTTCCCTCCCCACCCGTCAATATTTGGAATAGAGCGTCTGCCCAGAGACTGCAGAGAGCAGAAGGTGGATGGTTCGATCCCAGTCGCGTCGTTAGAAGACAGCCCCCGGAAGGGTATAAAGCTAGTCGACTCGGAGTTGGTGTGTATGAGTGAGTGAGTTGGGTTTTTAACGCCGCTAATGACAGTATTCTAGTTACATCACAGCATGATGTGTTAGAAAAGCCTGAAGTGATGCAGGTTTATTATGAATTATTAAGGTTATAAGTGTGATGAAAGTACAAGCACAAGTATGAAAGTAACAATGCTAGAAACATAGCCGGGACGAACCGAGGTCAGAACCAATATCACCGGTTTCTGGAGTGCAAAAGGGACGCAACTCTGCATGTCACATTTCGACGCCTTAGACCCGCACACACCCATTTTCCCACGCTACCCTTTCAGGACATGGGCAAACATGCAGAGAAAAATGAAACTACCTAAATATATAATTTGTAATCATTACAAAACGCTCTAATCTTAATAACTGGATACAAACAGCAGCTGATATCAAAGGCACACACAACTAATGTAAGACATTACGTTGTTATCCAATACATTTACCGTCTCTAGAGAGTGTTGTTAGAAGCATTTATAATTTACTTATATAAACTGAAATGAAAATTCAACGTTTTTATGTAACTTGGGGTCAATGTTCGGTATATGAGGTTCTGAACATGGAAATTACTTTGTACAATGGAATAAATCCACATTCGTATTATGTCAGTTCCGCCCGACATGCGTCATGAGTGACACGAAGCAACCCACGAGTGATGTATATTACTATAGGTGAGCTGTGCGTGGTAGGTCTATGTGATACGTACACTGATGATAAGCCTGCTCGGTACCTGCCACATGCTCGCCATTCTTCAGTATTCCCGTCACGCTGGTCTCACTGTCTTTATTCACGTTATTTATTCATATTTCTTATGTATTTGTACTGATGTTGGAGTCAGTGGACAACTTTCTTAACTGGTAAAGAAAAAGTTGCTTTTGGTTTATTATTCGTGATATATCTGTCTGTATGAATGTATGCATGTTTATGTGTGTGTGTGTGTGTGTGTGTGTGTATGTGTGTGTGTGTGTGTGTGTTTTTTATGTGTGTGTGTGTGTGTGTGTGTGTGTGTTTGTGTGTGTGTGTGTGTGTGTGTGTGTGGACGGATGAATGTTTGCATGGATGGATGCATGGTTGGATGACAGATGGATGAGGGACGGGCGGACGGACTGACGGGTGGATGGATGGATGGATGAATGGATGAAATGCCCCGAGAGTAGATAAATAAATAAAATAAATATAATGCTGAAGTCCGTATCATGTTGATATGAAAGTACAAGTGTATAATACGTGAAAGTTCACATAATGTTGGCGAGTAACTCCGTACAATGTTGATATGAAAGTCCGTGCAATGTTGATATGAAAGTCCGTGCAATGTTGATATGAAAGTCCGTACAATGTTATGAAAGTCCGTACAATGATATGAAAGTCCGTACAATGTTGATATGAAGTCCGTACAATATGAAAGTCCGTACAAGTCCGTGCAATTTTGATATGAAAGTCCGTACAATGTTGATATGAAAGTCCGTACAATGTTGATATGAAAGTCCGTGCAATGTTGATATGAAAGTCCGTACAATGTTATGAAAGTCCGTACAATGTTGATATGAAAGTCCGTACAATGTGATATGAAAGTCCGTACAATGTTGATATGAAAGTCCGTGCAATGTTGATTTGAAAGTCCGTACAATGTTATGAAAGTCCGTACAATGTTGATATGAAAGCCCGTGCAATGTTGATATGAAAGTCTGTACAATGTTATGAAGGCCTGAACAATGTTGATATGAAAGACCGTACAATGTTATGAAAGTCCGTACAATGTTATGAAAGTCCGTACATGGTTGATATGAAAGTCCGTACAATGTTATGAAAGTCCGTACAATGTTGATATGAAAGTCCGTGCAATGTTATGAAAGTCCGTACAATGTTATGAAAGTCTGTACAATGTTGATATGAAAGTCCGTACAATGTTATGAAAGTCCGTACAGTGTTGATATGAAAGTCCGTACAATGTTGATATGAAAGTCCGTACAATGTTATCAAAGTCCGTACACTGTTATGAAA